TTCACTATTAACTAAACGGGTTGCATTTCACGATAATATATGTGATTATTAATTCCATACGCGACATCATCAGAGTCGATGACTGTTTCATTTAACGTTAAGGTCCAATTTAATTCTGTACGCGTATTCGTTACATTTCAGACAAAAATAACATCAGAATATTATACACCCTGTCATGATATTTAATTTTCTTTCCTAGAAGCGTAGAGAATCCTGCGTTCTATCGTAATGATCTAAATCTATTATTTCCACTTGCAGCGAACCGAGCTGCATTCCAGATTCTACGCACGAAACGCGAAACGGATTTCGACTATGCAGTCTACGACAATAACGCGATTCATTGGATTTAACATCATTGTTCGCCAATGGAGGCGCGAATACCACTTGTCCAGTGAGACGATAACATTTTCGTAGCAATAAATATTCTGGATTCTTTTTAAAACGCTGTGGCGTAAAAAATTATTCATATTCTATAGTATTCGTTATGTGTTCGAAGGAAAATTATATCGTAATCGAATCATTTATTATACACTGCAGCAAAGAAATTAATTTTAAATAATTTTCATATAAAAACGAGTCGTTTGGTCCAAATCGAGCGATCTACTGCTCTATGGTAAACAGTATCTGCGATCGTAACGTTCGAAATTTTTAATTTATTCACAGTCCAAGCAAGAAAGATGGAAACAATTACGAAATTTTGGTCCTTTCGTTGGTCAGCGAATACCTAACGCGTTAATACCAAATTGCATTGCTCGAAATCTTTCGAATCTGGCGGACGGATAATGTGCCGAAAAAGACGTTCGACCAAGTAGAACGAGCGAGTTTGAGCAGCCGGCGTAGAACAGGATTGAACGTAAATTTCCAGCCGGTCGATCTTTTCACGGGTGAAAAGTTTCATTCGATCGACACAATAGTTCCATTATCCGACAATTTCGTAACGCGTTTTCGCTGATTTAACCCTTTTGCATTGGGCAGGGTCCCGCGTACCGACGCAAAATATCCCGTATGATGGTACGTGTGCGCTGTCTCGCGCACGTTGCCTAGAGCTCATTAAATTTTGTACGACTGCTCGAGATCTAGCAGCGAATTTTTTTTTTCAATTTTTTGCGACACGCTCCGTAACGAGAACGAGCTTTAGAAGATTATTTCTGGACATTGTTTCAAAAGTTTTTCTTATTTGTTATTATCCGATATCATTGATTTAAAGAAAAAAAAGTTTCTACGGTTCATTTATAAATTCAATGTTTCGAAATATGTTTGGTAATACCGACGATCCTAGACACCTCATGGGTTACCGTGGTAACGTTAAATGCGTTACTAATGAGTGCAAATTAGCGATTCAATGTCCCCCGGTACTGAAAACTCTTGACCTGTAAACCGCGGTATTGTCAACCGGGGATTCGTGCAACTTAACAGACAGTGGTATGAAACTCGCTGGGCCTGATAATGGGAAACTAGGACTCGTGAAACCCAAGAGATCGCTATCGAGGGACATGATACTGACGAGTCCATTGTGCTAAGACTTAATAGCAGTGTCCCCGTGCGATTCGAATGGCATTGGACTCTGCGAACTCGATACTCACGATCCTGGGACTCGCGAAAACCTAATCGAAGCGAAATCAGATTTCAGGAACTATTAATATGGTGTCCTAACGCTTGGTCCTGGATCTTTTGATTTCTGTCGCGTCTTGTATTGCTAACGATCTCAACTTCGAACGCTTGTATTTCGAATACTGAGGCCCAACTGCAAAGATACGTTAATTTACTTTTTACGTGGATTAATGGGAAGACACGATCAGAAAACGTAGATGATTTTCTACTGTCTCAGAGAGTCTATAGTCATAGTGATCTTCGAGCTTCCTACAGGTTTCAACCCAATCATGTGGGTTCTCCAATAATCCTCAAGACCTCTGGTATATCTCTCAGATTCGTGATCTGGATCCTCAGTCTCACGAGTTTGGGATTCTCAGAATCACGATCTACGGTACTCGACTCTTAAGTATCGTGTCCGGAGAGTGTGACGTTTTACTCATCGAATTCCACGAGTCAAGAGATGTCATTATCTAGTTCTACGAGGTCGGGGTCGTCAATACCGGGACTAACTAGACCGGTGACTCCCCCATCGCGTACCTCGTTATTATCTGGTCCCACGTGTCCGTGAACGTTGGTGTCATGTACCAAGGTTCCAAGTCACGTGTATTTCCATCCTGCAGCTGCATACATTGTTTGCTGTTTCAATGTCGTCCGCAATTTTAAGTAGATTAAATGAATACCAATTAAATTTAAAATGTAACAAAGAGACAAATAGCTTTTTATTCCATCATAAAAAATTTAATTTTAATGTAACAACATTCTACAAATTTATATTACGTTTTTCGTTATAATTTCTAGCCTTGTGGTTATTAATAAATGCAATTCACTGAACATTTTTCGTCGACGTAATTCCAGTAATTATATTACCACATTGCCAGAGAGAAACAAATTAATATAACGGGAGCGTAATAAAGTAATAATGTGAATTTTTAATTGTGCTTCAAAATGGTGGAACACAGTCTGAAATTTTTAACCGATTCACGAGCGTGCTCCATCTTTCGAGATATCGATTTGTAGCAATTAAAAGCGAAACGAGAATATCATCTCCGTGATTTTACGTAAATGTATACTTCTCGAAGTTGTATCTGTTCCTTAGATGTCGTGTACTTTTCAAAGTAATGCTTACAATCGTGCACGGAAGTTTCCCAGGCTTCTGTAACTGGCGGTGATAATAGAAGAGAAAAGTATCGATAGAACGAAGCCCATTTTCGATTTGAATTCCCAACCGATCGGACCCACGATCGATTCGTAGTTATCGATGGAAATTAGAATGGCCATTATTCCCTCCGGCCGGAGATACTTATTTCTTGGAACGGCAATATTTTCACTACATAGACACGAAACGTCGATATATAATGGCGGCACGTAGAGGCATAAATACGTGGTAGAAAATCGAGTCTTCTATTTTATGGAAATAGGGCTCGTTTGTATGTTTTAAGCAGACGTCCAGTATCGATTTCTGAACCGGTGTCCTGATATCGCGATCCCATTTTAATAAAATTCTCTATGCAAGAGAGGATTCTTCTCGTTCGCATTTCATTTCCAAAGAATGCATTTAAACATATCCCTAGGAACGAAAAAACATATTTCTTTATTACGATAAAAATACGTGTAGTTGGGGAAGGGTTTATATCTGGGAACTGTTTTGAGGGAAAGTTTCGAAGAGAAAGAGGACCGTTCCGATTATTTATGAGAGTTTTATGACAAAGTGTGGCACTACGCTCGAGACAAGGAACGAGAACGCGAACGAAAGAGCTGCGAACACCTGCTCAACGGTAAATAATGCTTTATCGACGATAAGGGATGTTTACCACGATTACCCGCCCGTCTACTTGTACACATTTGCTTGAGAACTGGTTAATCCACTGTGGCTCGATAATTAATTGTCGTATAGCTATGCCTGGAGCTCAATTAGAACTTGTACCTGCACACCAAGTAAATTATAACTTTTGACACGCTGGCGTTACGTTCGTTCTACGTGTTGATAATTTGTTCGCGAATAGTCGTCGTTGCGTAACTCAGCTGGTTTCGGTGCTGCAGCAGCGTTCTCTTTTGCAATTTGCGTTGCACGAATGTCGAGTAAAGAGTCAGACTTACACTTGACAATACTTGTAATTGCATTCTCTTTCGCCTTGTAATTTGTAGAAATTAAAATTCTTTTCTTTTTCACTTGCAAGAAATTTGTTTCTGTTACAATTGTAGATGGTTAAAGAATCTCAGTTCTCCCCTTTTGAAAGACTTGGAACTTATTTGTAATTAGTAAATAATAAGACAGTATCGCCTCATTAAATTTTCGGAATTTTCTGGTCAACGAGACGCGGGATTTGACGCGTGGTTCGATTCCCGAATCCGTACGGATCGCGTTAAGCGTCGTGTCAAATGTTGGCCACGAGATTCGTCCTCGCAGATGGACCGAAAAAAATCAATCCGAACGCGGCGCGGCGCTTCGAACGAAAATGACCAAAGTAGATCTGAACCGGGTCCGGAGGATTGATGGATTTTAACCCGGCGGTGCCAACTCCAACGGAGAACGCGACAAAAGCTTCTCATTGAGTATTTGCGTTGACTGTCAGCGTAGCGACGCTTTTTTCACCGGTGTTTTTGCCGAAAAAAGTTGCGGCGCGAGGGGATATGCCGTTGTTCGGGAAGACAAAGGGACCATCACGGTTATGATTCATGTGAAATTGTTGAAGCGTTTCTCTGCGCGTGTGTATTTAACTCGCGCGGAGTGTTAGCCGCCACGTGAACATTAGGATTGTTCAAGCGTCCCTTTGTTTCATTTGTCAAGTAATTTCGGACGTAATACGGTTCACCGAGTCGAGAGCAGTCTGTGAAAACGCAACTTCAAAATATTTAGGATTTTAAAAAAATCACCGAAACTTTAATTCGACTATTTCCTTCGGTCCTCGAATGGATGGATTGAATTTAATGTTAAATTAATTCGAAACGAACTTAACTCTAGTTCTGATAGTAGAGAAATTATGAATATTTATGACTGCAATTTAAAACTAAATTCTGTGTCGTTTAATCCCCACGATAGTCTAATCTCTATATGGTACCTCCTTAGGCTGCACTTTAAGCAGCCCTACATATTCCTCTCGTCAAAATCTAATTAATGGTTTCAAATTAGTGACAATACGCGAACCGATGGGGCAAAGAAAACATTATACGAGCTCTGATAATTATTTCAAACAATCCTTCGTCTACCTAACGCGTAGTATGTACCAACTCGAATCAACCTCAGTCCAAATTCCATAGAAAAACATTCCGTACAATAACGCAACCCGTCAAACAACCAAATTTCTACAGAGAACACATCCCTACTCCCGTTTAAGTCCGATAGACATCGTGCAAACACGAAACGTCCGGCCGGATCAATTCAGAGTCTTCTGTTTCTGTTCAAACAGCTCTCGGTCAGGTGATGCTCTACGTGGATGGTATGAATGGGGTGATGGAACACGGTCAGACGGTTCAGTGGTTATACACACTGATAGCCAGCCGGTTTCGTCTGGTGGTGAAGACCGCCCTGAAGCTGCTGCTGGTGTTCGTCGAATACGTGGAGACGAACAGCCTGCTGTTGGTCAGGGCGGTGAGGTCCGTGGACACGTCCAGGGGCATGATACCTTGGACCAACGTGATGAAGCTCCTGAAGGATTACGATGCCGCGGACACGGAGCTTCTAATTTATGCCACGACGTTGGTCAACAAGTGTCTGAATGGCATACCGGATCAGGACACTTATTACGACCAGGTGGACTGTTTGGAGGAGCAGGGGATCGAGGGCATCATTCAGAGGTACATGTCGAAGCAGGGCACCGACCTCGATCTGCTCAGGCAGTTCCAGATCTACGAGGCCGTGCTTCACCACGAGGACGGGAACGACAGGGGATCACCTATCCGTCAGCTCGACGATAACATCAGGTATCGATTTTCGCCGATGTCGCTCTTCCCGCCGATGAAAATCTTCGCGTTTTGCGTTCGACGATTTACGGGATATTGTATCGCGTCGGTGATACTCGCCGAAGGGATTCTTAAAGGGAAGGGAATTTTTAAGGAACGTTAGAGAAATATTTCGACTTCTGGGGAGATTGGAGATTTCGAAGGAAGTAATTTTGATTAGTATAAAGATTTTATATTGGAAGATGTGTAATTTCGGAAAGCGTTGTTTAAGTAGTGTGTATATAGCACGTGTAGAAATGTTTGGCTTGAATATATTTATATATTTAATTTGACTATTTGTGAATGAGACAACGTCGTAGTAAGTTCATTGACCTCGCGACGTAAACAAACACTTCGAACCCTTTTATCTCCGAAACTAGCCAATCGACTTGAAACTAAAATCGTCATATCTCCGGAACCAATTACGCTATCGACTCGTTCGAAAGCTCATTTTAAAGGGCATTTCATCCCCTATCATATGAATGTATTAACTATTACTATTTATACCGTCCTCTGTGTTTATTTTGTCATTTACTTCGACACTTTACAGGGTGTTCATCTTAACGGTCGATTTTTAAGGCATTTACAGTAATCTGAAAAGAAAAATGTTTCCAATAAGAGTTATCGTATACTTTGAGGAGAACAAAGTGCAATAATAAAAATTTCAAAAAATTGCAACTGGAAAGTGTATAGGCGGTACATACAATAATTTGTACAATTAAGATTAAAATACTTCTTCAGCGATAATTTTCTTAACTTTTGACATTCTGCGTTCCACTATCCGAGTATCCACGCACGATGCAATATTCTCAAACCAGCGAAACATAATCGTATCCGGTCCGGGTGGTAGAATTGTAAAGAGAACTTGTCCTGAATCCAGTGGACGGAACTGCTAGATCCACTACGAAAAGCCTGTAATCACTTCCGCAAACAATTCACCGGGAACGGTTGCCCTTGTGCCTGCAGGAAGACGCTGCGGAACCGGAAGTCCCTGGTGGATTCGCACGAGCGACGAAAATCCCGCAGACACTCGACGGGCACGTCTCCGTTGTCGATGTCCTTGAACGCCCGCCTAAGTCCGCGGCTAAACCACTCGTTGGGTCTAAACTCCCTGAACAACACGCTTAATTCGAGTTTGCCGGACGACGACGACGAGTCCAGCAGTTCCCAAAGCTCGCAAGGTCATCTGGGCGAGGTTCAACTGAACGGCAGCTACAAGGAGAACAAAGGTAAAAAAAAAACGACGCCTGGCTGTCGATTCTTATTCCGTCGTTCCACGCGTTAAAGGAACTTCGCTTTCGGTTTTTGTTCGCTCGTTTTGTTCGCTGGCGCGTGTCTGTCGCCGATGCAATCGCCACAAATCCGCTCGTTAACGATTCGACCGCGCGGTGAATACGAACTTGGACGCCCACGAGCGACGATTTCCGCGTTAACGGATCGTCCCTCTCTCGGGAGCGAGACCTTGCGGTTTTCAGTCCCCCGGTGCGTTTCGTTGCGGACGCAGCGCGCGAAAAACCGTAGTTTCGCCAAGAGGGGACCGTGCTCGAGGACGCTCGTAACGTCGCGGAAAACGCAGCGATTTCGGACGAGCACGCACAGTGGGTGTAACAGATAAATCGTGTTTACTCGAAAGAAACGCGAGCAAACTGATCTGATGGTTCGTGCTTGCGTTCGAATACGAGCTTCCTGCTGCGTGAGTTGATTGAAACTTTTTATTGCATCGCGTTTCTTAACTAGTAGTACAGAATGGAGTGTCCCTTTCTGGAACCGTAATTTTGTTGTGAAACTCTCGTCACCGTTGGTGTTGATTATTTAAAATTAGTCTTTTGCTACCTATTCATATTTGAAGTTGGTACTAGTAGAATCGACATTTCAAATTGTAAACACGACCATCCATTTTCCAACGGTGTCAGTATTTTATTGACACGTATGACCAGCATTTTGAAACGGTGTAGAAATAGCAAGAGATTAATGGAAGCTTCATCTATCACTTTCGAGGATGTCAAGTAGTAAATACATCGCGCATAAACACAGTTACACGAATATCGTCGACTTGTGATACTCGTATTTCCTGTAGCTTTCTTTTTTAAAGCCTTTATTCGACTATGTTTATAGAATTTTTATTTTTAGCACCGGTTAAAGATTTAACCGTTTTGGCAGGGAAATTTTTATAGAATTCAGAGGATTGAAAATTTAATTTTGGTCAGTTTCACGTCGAAGGAACGAACGAGGAAGTAATTGATCCGACGTAGGTTCTTTTTTTATCGCGAAGAAACGACACGCGAATTTATTGGAGCTGTCGTTGGCGCGTCGATCCGTACGTCAAGGGCCATAAATCAAACGAAAGGCTCGAACCGGCGCGAATTCGTCGGGAACGTAAACGACCGTACGGTATAAGCGGCTCGTTCGGTAAATAGTAAATTATAGGTTGATGCAGAAAATGATCGGGGGCGTGTGTAACAGCGGCGAACAGTTGAGAAACGCAGTGATTTATTGGGGCTTTCAGTGGACGTTGGCGTGACACCGGCGTTAAGACGTCGAAGGGAACGAGCCGAGAGACAGAGAAGCTTCATCAGGGAGCAACAAGAGGCCACGGCGAATATGCGAGCATCCGTGGGTCATTCGGACGATCAGGAAAGTTAGTAATCGACGTTTAATTCTCGCTATTTACGGTGGACACGGAAATAATAGAAATTTCACTCTCAACGACGATTCATCAATCGATAGAAAGAGTTTAACTAAAGAAAATACGAATTCATTGTTTTCTTAATTCTAAACGTAATTTTGTACGATTTATCTATCCATACAATACTGTGAAAATTTCAAAAATTGGGAGAATGTCTTTTAATCGGAAATGTCCAGTTTGTCAGGCTCTTAAATCGATTGATAAATGAGAACAGAATACTTTGTCTCCGATTTATTCAAATTTCGAGATCGACCAAGTAATTTGAATTGGATTTGCACGTAACGAGGGATCATCCGCGGAATTAAAATGTATTGGCGTTGCGAAGGTCCTTTCCCGACGAACGGCGTGCGGTACACGAACGGCACGTCGTACGAAAGAAACGCGGACTCGCCCTCGAATAAGCTGTCCAGGACGAACAGCAGGAAGGACTTGACGCCCCTGATGAACGCAGCGAACAAACTTGACTCGGAGGAGAAGAAGCCGTGGTACGGGAAGAGCCCGGACGAGGGTGTCGAGTGCGACGAGGGCAATCACACCGACGAGGATGAGGATCGTCGAGTGGTTTTACAGCTGAAGAGGGAAGGAACCGTCAAGGATCTCACACAAAAGCTGGTGGCTCAAAATCTTATACCGAGCAGCCCGGTCGAGGAGAAGGTCTCCAGGTAATTCAGTCGTGCGACGCGTGAACGAGATTCGAGTCCGTTAAGGGGGGCCCGAGATTGCGAGACACCGGTGTCCATTGTTGTTGAGCAATTAAATACGATTCCAGGGTTCGATATGTAAATCGTGACAGGAAATCGGTCGTCGATGCGAGCACGGTCGGCTCGGGGAAAGAATCGATTTCGTTACTCGATGAGATTCTACCAAACGTTTCCTATCTTGGAACGAGCACGTGATATTATCCCAGGCGTTCGCTTATGAATTTTCTGCCAGATTCTATCAAATTTTAATTAAATTTTCGTGGCTCTGTCCCGTAAATGGATATTGTATTTATGCAGCTATTACTAGCCAGCGATTTTTTCGGAGATTGTTCTAATTTGAAAAAAATTTTACAGTTTTTCGTGACCATGTAGGATACGATAGGGTGTATCAATTTTTAGTATTTACGTTACTTTTCGGGGAATATCGTATATTTTTTTGTGAATTCATTCGTCTACTATATGATGACCTTGTAAGGGCGTATACAGGGTGTTCGACCACCCCTGGGAAAGAATATAATGGGTGATTCTAAAAACCAAAATAAGACGAAAATGAAGAATATCAATTTGTTGCTTGAGGCTTCGTTAAAAAGTTATTAACGTTTAAAGTTCCATATCGACTGGAAAATTTTAAAATTTCAAATCATTTTGAAAAAATTATTTTATGATTGCAGGGGTCAATTATAATCATTTTTGTTGAATAGACATACCCTTGAAATCCTACCCACTTTCGAGAAAAAAATTCCTTACCGAAAATATAATGCCTGACCAGGAATGAATGATTCTCCATAACTCCAGAACGGATCGGAGGATTTTAATGTTTCAAAATGCAAACAACGCGTATTTTAATGAAGAATAACTAGAAATTCTAACAATATTGGAAAAGTTGTTCCCTAACACCATAAAGTGAGAAAACCTCATGAAAGTGGTCCAATTTTCAAACGGTGACCGACCACCCTGTATGTACGCCTTTCGTAATCAAAGAGTCGAGAGTCTCGAATGGACTCTCGAACGTGTCTACAGCCCTGGACTTTCGCGTTTACAGGATAGGTGACATGAGTGGTCTGATCTCGAAGGCGAAGGAGGGTCTCGCGAAATCAAAATCGAAGGCGGACGTTTTGAAGTCGCCGACCGGCGACAACCTGCCCAAGCTGCAGGAGGCGAAGAAATCGGAAAACGAGCTCCACTGGGAGGAGTTGATTAAGAAACTGAAGAGACCGCTGGCCCTCTGCGACCTCGACTTCACCGATCTGAATTCCGACGACGAGGTCGACGTTCTCGGTCCCGTGAACGTGACCAACGGGGTTCCACCGCCCCCGCCGCCCATGGTGCCACCGCCCGGCGGTGTTCGTGCCCCGCCACCGCCGCCCCTGGGGGCGAGGCTGCCGCCGCCGCTTCCTCAGGCCCCTCCGCCCCTGTTCGGGATGAATTTCAAGTCCCCGAGATCGCCAACGTCCACCGACGCCAGCAACACGCCAAAGAGTCCGCCGCCTACGTTCACGAAGAAGAGCAAGAAGACGGTGAAGCTGTTCTGGAAGGAGGTCAGGGACGATCCCATCATACTGTCCAGGCTCGATAAAAACAAGATGATATGGGACGAGCTATCGCCGGTACCTGTTGACACGCAGAAGCTCGAGCATCTGTTCGAGAGCCGCGCCAAGGATCTCATCACCAAGGTGAGCAGTCCTCGTTCTGTCCTCCGGGTGCATCCTCTTGGTCAGAGGTTTGGTTATTCATTAATATTCGCGCGACGATGAAACCCGTGACTCTGTACGATTCGTCGGTGGACGTCTCGCGACCTATCGAGCCAAAAGTAACACTTTCTTAACGTCACTCTTTCTCTTTACTGTCCTTTATATCAGTTCTATAAGCGCGAGTACGAGACTTTCACTTCTATCGGGGGAATCCTGTAATTTATGTTTTAAATACGACTTGAATTCATCGATTTAATATTTTTAAAACTGTGCTATCTACACGTATGCACATCCTGATCTTATTTAGTATATTTTAAAAGACGAGAGAATTGAAAACGTAGCTGTTATTATTCCCGTTGGAATTGTTTAGATGAAATTCCACCGTGCCGTTTTGATTTCGCGAGGGGGTGGAAAAAGCTGGTCACTTAATCCCTCGTCGCGGCAAAATGATTCAAAGGGAACGTTAAATCCGTTGACTATTCACGATCGAACCCGTGGCTCCCGGGGTCGCTCTATCGCCGAATTCTAAATCCCTTTCTGGTAACAAAAAATAATTGCTTTTCGAAAGCCTCGGTTCCCTCCCCCCGTAACCAAGGGAACAATGCACGCGACATGGCCGAGTTTCCGGTTTCCCTTCGCGTCGATGCAAAACCACTTATCCGTCTGGCTCTCGCGGTTTCTCAAAATCCATTGCCCGCGACAGGAAATTTAATTACCCCAAAGGGAATTTCGAGCAAAAGGTCAACGCTGTACAGCCGCCCCCCCATGAATCTTAGGCATTTCTTTGTTTCTTCTCTCTTTGGCGGACCACAACAAACGACGTCAGTCATCCCGCGACTCTTGATTCGTTAAACTCGCTCCAAAGAGCGAATGCTCCGCCGTACGTCTGCTTTTCAGCTGAAATTCCGCTGGTCGCGGGTACCCACAATCCAGAATACACAAAGCTGCTTCAGGAGGTTGTCATGCGCTTAGAGGGGACGAAACCTTCGAACCTGGAGGTCAAGGAAATCGTTATTTTCCCCCGGTGTCCTCGCAAAGTCCTTTTCTTGCGACGATGTCCAAGGGATGACCGTTGGCTGTGGCAGGAATGATTTATTTCCACTCGTTCTGTATCTTCCATTGTTTGGGGAATTATTCTCGCGGACAAAATTAATTAATCGTGGCGCGAGATAGCGTCCCTTCGTGGCGATTAAAAGTTTCGTTGCGAAGCTCCCGCGTGTAACTGAACTCCTTTGTAAATAAAGATGGATCGTTTTTGCAACGAAGCTTTGCAATTCGGATACTTCTTGCACCGATGGAAGTTGAAAAGTTAGCAACTCGATCGTTCGATTGCATTCTGTGGTAGAAAATTTATTTACGCTGTACTCCTTATATTTTTTAAATATTTTAGTATATATTATAACACTTGGATCGTGACGTACCAGTTGCGTTAAATTTATCAATTGTTGGAATCTTTTGAAGATACAAAGAAAATATTATAGAATGTTTCGATAAAAGTTTCTTGCGATTTTATTAATATTAAAACATCGATGAAAAGTTTCGAACGGTCGAGGGAGAAAACATTTTCTATTCTCGTCGCGATAATTTGTACAACCCTTTCGTTCGAGCTCGCGAGAAATTCGTTTAATGGTAATCCACCCCTCTAATTAGCAAACATTTGCCGAAATTCTCGCCGGACCCGTTATCCAATTGCCGGGGAATGTTTTTTCTGTTCGCTCGCCAGTAATTATTGTCTCGTTAGCCCGATGTCGAGGATTCGGTTGGCCACGTGGGGCGGTTCCTCTCGAGATATTTTTAAATAAAGGATACCAGCCGCGGAGTGGAGCATTAAACACACTGCAGGAAAACTCCGTCCGAAATGGAGTGCCGGGAATTGCATTAAATACGAGCCCCCCGCCTACCGTTTCTTTTCCCCTGCATTCTTTCGAACGTGTTTCGACGATAACGGAAGGAATTAAAGGCTCGACCGGACCTCGACTTCCTTTTTCCTTCGCGCGTTTAAATCACAGGGCAGTGGACGGCGTTCGAACTGGCGTCGAGACGCTTCAACGCGTTCGCTGTCCAGCTGCAAAAAGGGGTGGTTCTTACGCGTCTTAAGAAGTACTATTTTTTAATATAATACATTGGAGGGTTCGAAATTTAAAAATAAAATGCACGCTGCTCAGCGACCACCGATTGACACATATTCGTAATAGGATTAGATCAGGGTTGTCACAGAGGGCCAAGGGTATTCATTGCCACCATTTACAGTCGCATAAACATAAGAGCCGTCACTCGAACACGACTCGAGGCTTCGTTCCAATTCTCCCGATGCCTTTGACGCGGATTACACGTTTAATCCGCCCTGTTCGCGAGGGGGTTGCGCGCCCCTTAAACCGCTTCGCCCTTAAACGGCTTTATTTTCGATTGCGTATACAATAACAGAACGCCCCGGGATCGCTCCGCGGGGCCGAGGAATCTCGATTCTAGGAACGTTTCTCGTTCGAGGGGCAAAGAGAAACGTTTACCAAAGCTTAAGAGGATAAAAATCCCTCGCGTCGATCCCCGTCCCCCTATTCGCGCGTTTGATTTTACGGCTTCCCGCGGAACTTCCTGTTAAGTTTATTAAAATATTCGCCGCGTTTAATATTCGCTCGAACCGGCGCGATTGTTTGCGCATTGTCAAAGAGGACGACGAAGTTTCCTGGGAGGCTGGAGTTCTTTAAATCGCGAAAAGCCCCGCAGCTGCGGCGCTTCCGTTCCCCTTTCTTCGCGTCGCGAAGAAAAACAGAAAATATTACGCCGTTGGTCAGCTACGAATGTCAACGAGCTCAAAGGATTTAAGTTTCCTCCGTTATTCCGCTACCTTTTCTTTCCCGTTGTTCTTTCGATTCTCTTTCGCGTTGTTTCATAGGGCCCGGGTATAAGGAAGAGACTTTTTCTCCCGCACAGTCGACGAGGCTCTTGAGCGATTTTACTCGTTAAACGTGGAATGTCTTAATTGAAAACACTTCCCGGTAGATATCGTTAAAAAGTTTGGATAATGGAATTTGCTTCCCTTTTGATAGTCCTCGAAGCGAAAGGAACTGTTGGTCTTGAAAACAATTTATTGACGAGGGCGCCCTTAAATCTTAAACGGTACGTTTTGGCGTAAATATATTTTCATCGAAGAAAATATGCTGTCATAGTCTGTCTTAATTAAATATAAACATTCCTTTCTACCGAAACCTTAAAGGAATTTTTTCATAATTAGTCTTATCAGGCAACATTGAAACTAAAAAAGAATCTTCTAATATCCGGAATAAAAAATTGTCCAAATTAATCGCTGCGGACGTCGGTGATATTTATCTCCTTTATTAAAATCTCGCGACGCGAAAAAGAGCTCGTTAGAAAACACGCTTGAAATTGAATGAGCCGGCCATTAAAATTACGCGAGCCGCGTAACCGGGAATTTCTTAAATTCGCGAATTTTTCTAACGAGATGTCGTTTTCCCCGGGCTTTGCATTATCGGATTCCATTGAATAAATTTCGTTCGAGGAACGGAAACGGGCATACGTATTTCCCATTTCGCCACGCGCAATTCTGTCTCGCGCTAGCGTTGAATCGCGTACGTATCGAGTAAATTTTCCGGCAAATAGAAATTCACAGGAAAAGCGTGCTCGTAAGGCCGGTAATATCTCGTGGGCATACAGAAATTGCATTTACACGCGTGTTCGCGCCTCTTCTATCCCTTTCAATTAATCTTTTCCCCGCGGAAAATTTCCACCGTAGGGATTTCTATTTCGGGAAATAGTTGCAGTGGAATTTTCGAACGAAAGATAAGAAATAGAATCACGGTAACGCCACGTAAGAGTCGCGAAATGATATTACGCGTGGAATATTTCTCGCCTGGAATACGTGCGATTTAATAGGCCGAGAAACCCGACGGTTGGTTTCTTCACGATAGCGTTGATGGTCCGAATAGAATCACGTTTTTCCACGTGCCGTAGTGGCTCACATCTCACGCACATTAATTTCACCGTGGATATCGGATAATGCCACGTCGTCTCCGGGTAACACGCGTTTTCCCTCGGTTGGTGAAAACCGGTGGAAATTCTTCGACGATCGTCACCGACCGCGTTCAGAGATTCCACGCGAACGGTCGGCTCGTCGCTAATTACTACCCGTAATTACATGCCAGTTTTATCGGCTTTGACCGTTCTTGCCTCGCGTTTTAAATCGTCACGAGCCAATGGACACGCCGACACAACGCGAGAGGTCAGGAAGTCCTTGTAAACGAGATAAATTCGTCATTACTGGAGTTTAATCCCTTGGCCACATATGTGGACGTTTAGTTTTTTATAATTATATCAATAATAAATAGACCAAAAACTACAGATTATAAAAAGAAAAAATCGTCCATGAAGAGTTTAACTTTTTGACGATATAGGGAAACATTATTCTTCAAATTTCGTGCAAATAATAATAACTGAAATTGAAGTTCAAAGTAAATAGAATTAATTAAGAATTGAACACATTTTCTATTCAAAGAAATTAAAAAAAAAGAGAAGTATGTTCTCTGCTATATTTTATTAAGGACCCAAATGATGGAAGATCGAAACGAAGAATTAAAAACTGTAGAAAATGAATTCAACATTCGTAGTACAGAGTAGCTATTTTCAAAGAGTTGGATGTTTCTCAGCGCGGTGGTTAAGAATCACTGTCCCAACTTGTGACACTGGTATTGTCTTTTCTCTCGAGTCGCGTCTTTTCTTTACTCGTGCACCGTGTCTCGGCCTCCGCCTCTTCCGCCTCGTCTTCGGAACGATGCTTTTTGCCTGCTGGTCCTTTGAACTTTTACATTTACACCGGAGTCCGATAATAATTAATGCCTGGCAAAGAGTCCGACAAGACTTTTCGCGAGAAAACGGGCGAAAGAAGGGCGAAGGGAAAAAGGGACGGCGTGAATCGGGAAAATTACGGAACACCGAGTGCTGCGGAGTGAAATTGGAGCAAGCGAACGAGACGGGACAGAAAGAGGAAAGAAATCACCGGGACGTTGTTGGCCATTTTTTTTTTTTCTACCTCTTTTTCGTTGATCCCTCTGTAAATTTAACGAGACTCGACGTACTCGGATTTTGTTGCGTAAATATCGGTTACAGCAAATATTGACCGCCTTCGAGCGATTTAATTTGTCCGTAGAACGTAGATATTGGAAGAGATAGAGAGTCTCTGTTTCTTTGGATCTTCCTCGAGCCACGACTTATCGCTACCCGATAATCTTTAAGGCGATTGATATCTCCAGTTTCATATTTATGAAGGAGTCGACGTCGATTTGCGGATAAAGGGGAAAAATGCATTTACATTCGGGAGCATTACGAACGCCAATCGAAATTGCTATGGATAAATAGAATTCATATGAACCGCGGATCTGACTAATGAGAGATTTTTCCTGTTCGTCGACGAGTAAGATACTGTTACATTATTTATGAAGTCGGTATAAAAATACTGTGACGGCACGAAGTCCTCATTAAAGCTTCAGAGAAGAGATGATATTCTCTTCTTTTTTTTTTAATCACATTATTATCTTGAATTTGTATAAAAAATGATCTGCTAATCGGGAATGAAAAGATCCGGTGGAATCCTTATTAAAATTTTGCGGCAAGACGGTACGAGGGGTTTTTTTTCATTTCGAAGCTTCGAGGTTGACGTATGCTGCAAGTTCGAAAGAACATTCTCGTCGGAATTGTTAGGAAAAAACTGGTTAAAATGGGAGTTTGGATTCTCGCGTTACCCTTTATCCCTCGTGCTATATTATTTTAACCGCGCGGTTTGCTACAGAGATTTCACCGGACGATCATACACACGAACGATCACAATCTTGGTATAATAGGCTCCGTTAGTCTAACGAAGTAACTTTAACAATAACACTGCGTAAATTAATACGATCCGTAACTGTAACGATATCCCGTGATAATGATCGCGAATAATAATACGGCGAATAGCGGATGGGTGGTGGTGATGGTGGTTTAATACAATACGACTAATTTTTTCTTGTATTATTTGCAATATTCTTGGTGCTCGCACGAAAAATGAACGAAATGGCATGCTGGAATTTTACAGGAGGTGAGTCCTAATTTCTTAACTTCATTTAACGAACGTGTTTCTCTAATCCCGAATCAGCTTGCACTCGTTGTACACGTTTTTCTGCCGTTTGTTACGCTTGCCATTAACACGCAAAGAATCGATATTTTGTTCGATCTAATAATTAAAACGAACCTGCTTGCACGAACGCGTAACAACCTACACTGCTAATACATTCACGTTTCCGACAAGTACACTGACTAACTAACTTGGATGTATTTACTTTTTAATTCACTTGCCTCTCCAATCTCTCTTTCCCCCTTCGAGCTTTTGTTTATTCGTTGCACTGTTTGCGTTAGCATCGTGCACCGTTGCCGTGCGCATCATTCGTTATCGAACTTTGCTAAACTCGCATCGCCAATAATAATATTACTTTCCGCCGATTGGCCCGTAAAAATAGCCAATACATTACCGGGTGTTTTCGTCTCTCTGTATTTCCGTTTCCCGTCAGTTTGGAATATGAATATTTTACACGCGGTTGAATATACACGCGATTTCGACGGTCGATCGTGCTTTTCGTTTGGAAAGTCATTCGTGCACGGTGTTCGTTCCTGATTAAATTCACGATTTTGAGTGTCGCAGCATTTATGGAAACACTTTTCAAGTTACCCAGCGACCATGAATTCTCGATCACCGTCTAAGCGTGTTTGTTCTTTTCTCTCCCGTCGAGCAGAAGCAGCAAGAGATGAACAAGAACAAGGAGATCATCGTGCTGGACCATAAAAGATCGAACGCCATCAACATCGGTATGACCAAGTTGCCGCCACCGAGATCGATCAAGACCGCGATCTTGAAAATGGACGCGACCATTATGAACAGGGAGGGTATCGAGGTAAGAATTTCATTCATTTTACCTAAATCCTATACAAGATCTCTGATTAATCAGTATTTTGTCATGTGATAATTGAATTACAATTGAATTTCTTGTCCTTTCGAAGGTTCCTAGTTTTATTATATTTAAGCGACATTAACAGACAAATACAAGATTATTTATCGATTGGAGGTGTGCAAATATTCGCGAACATCGAGTTCGATATTATCAGACATTTGGTTCAGTTTAGAAGTGTAATATAAAATCTTGGACCAGACTCGATCTGACGTGACTTAAATAGGTAATCCTTCTGATTAATAGACACGTAATATTTATTTATTATTTGAGAATTTTCTGCTGTCTTTCAACGTCATGAAGTATTTGCACACCTCTGGAACTATTTGGTGTACGAAATGCCTTTTTAATAAAAATGCTATCACATTGCTCTTCGAAGCCGACGAATATCTCTGACATCTATCCACTTCTTTCTCAATTTTCTCCCGATACGGAATTTACATCACGATCCCAGTTTCGTTTCGAATCCTAATCGATGGCGTGTCGCGATTCTTGGTTCACGATTAGCCCAAAGGTTCTGTTGAAACACCGCGTACGCTATGTTTTCGCGGTTTTTCCTCGTTTCTCTAATTTTCTTGTTCGTTTTCTTTTCTTCGTTCGTTCCTATCCCTCGCCCCCCCTCGGTTCCCTCGCGATAGAAACTATTGACGATGCTGCCGACCGAGGAGGAGAGGTCGAGGATACAAGAGGCGCAGGCCGCCAATCCTGACCTACCTTTGGGATCGGCCGAGCAGTTTCTTCTAACTTTGGCCTCCATCTCGGAGTTACCCGCCAGGCTGAAACTTTGGGCGTTCAAGCTGGACTTTGAGAATTCGGAGAAGGTGAGTCGAAACGGCTATAAACTACTCGCGTACAGCAAATATCGTAATACAAGTAAATCGGATAAAAATAAAGTACGTATTTTGTTTAACACTAGATTTACAGGCATTGATCGCACGTATATTGATTGATACTTTTCATGTTGACGATTACCTTAAAATACGATTTCTCTTTTAATTAGAATACGTATTCATGCCATTGCACCAAACAAATTCAACGTGAGTTGTTACAAAATAATATTTACGCGTTGTGCAATTTTAAATATGGAGAATAAAGATACCAGTGCAGTCTTGAATGCCTCCATGAAGAAAAGAAGCAATAAAAGAATCGCAAGAACGAATGTTTATTTAAAAAAGAGTAGTTTGAAAGGTTCCAAGTAGATCGTTGGGCGTATTTAAGATGTTCAATTTTAATAATCGTGTTAACGTAAATAAAATGAAGGATTTGGAAGGTGAAATCCTTTTCGATATTACTTCTCGCGCAAAACGAAACAACGACGTGGCTGTAAATGCAGTTCCGCGTGAGAAGCCCGCATGTCATTTCGCATGCAAATTCTATTAAGCGTCGTCGCATACCAATGCGCGTAATGGCGATCGAATTGGCCCGTTATTTCTCACGAATCTCGTCTCGAATTCCGCGGAGATAGTCGTGGCCACGACGAGGAGAAACGCCAGGTATGCGAGGAAGGAAGTCGCGGGGAACGTTCCCCGCATAATCGCGCGATTTCTTCGCTGGGAATACGGCGAATTCCGATACACGATCGTGCTGCGAACGAACGTGCATCACTTCCTCCGCGAACTGGCGCCTAACTCGAGGGTGTGAAACACTTTTACCGCGGGACCGGGAATTTTCGTATCTACGTACCCGGAGTTACGACGTCTGAATTCATCCTTGGGTGTATTCTCGCCTAACTATCGCCTTCGACCACGAACCGCTCGATTGATTCGATAAACACGTACGACTCTGTTCCTTCCACGGAAGATTCAAATGTATTTCCACTCAAATGAGACGATGTATTACGTTTTTTGACATTTCGTGAGAAATTGGAAAGGAATTTTCTTTAAAATCGTGCGAAAAAGTCTCTACGAAATGGGACAAGTAATCTAGAATGAAAAATTGAATTATTGGTTTTGGAGACGATTGTCTTATTTTATTTCAAACTGCACATGCTATCAGTGACTATCGATTCTCTGAATTTTAATTCAGAATTTTCTACAATAAAAAATTGTACTATAAATTTTGAAGACACTTATCTTATTCTATTTCTTTAAAAGAAACTTCCTTAAAATGGCTCTTACGTCAAACTGCACATATTATCAGTGTCTATCGATTTTCTGAATTGAATTGAAATTGAATTATCAGTTTTAGAGACGCTTATCTTGTTCTATTTCGATTTCTCTAAAATGGCCCTTACGTCAACCTACGCTTATCATCAATGGTTATACTCTGTTTAAAAAACATAATTGTGATTGAACGACCAAGTGAAGAAATAATTGATTTTTTAAAAACGTATATACGACGGCCTCGTGAAAAGGGTAACGTCGAAGGATTCGCGAGGGGCTTTGAGATTTAACGAATCCGCGAAAACGAACGCGGCTCGATAGAAATAATCGCGAACCATCTTTGTGACTGCAGGAAATTGCGGACCCTTTGATGGATCTGAAGCAGGGAATGGAGACCCTGCGAGTGAATAAAACGTTCCGCGGGATTTTGAGCACGCTCCTTTCGATCGGGATATTCCTCAACGGAAATGAGGTAGGTATTGAATGCCAGCCAAATGATATCCGCTTAATCCGTCCGTCGGAGTCACCGGTCGCGCGGAATCGATATCCATCGGCGTCGATAATTTTCGTGTAACCGTTAGCCGATGATACGAGGTGGAAAAAAAAAAGAAAAAAGGGACGAACGTCGGTCCAGGCGATTCGCTTGGCTGGCTGCCACGTTTCCGAAAACAGAAACCGTTCGGCCTATCGCGTACCCTTTTGTCCGATAACGATGCAATGTCCGTAGGCGGTGCAGTTTGCACCTTCACGCTCGTGAATCCCGTGTATGGTTCGCCGTGCACGATTCCGATCGTTTGTTGTGCTCCAAGAAGCTGGACACGCGAGTCATTTTACACTATTTAGCTCGAATGAAAAAACTATTCGCGATTTCAGTAGATCGTTCGTCGATTGATGAGGATAAAATTTGTAATTCGATAAAAAACAAATAAAATTGAAACGTACCAATTCACAGAAGCTTGAAATGGATAGATATTGTGAGAAAGTTCGAAGTATGAGATTCACGCTGAATTTACGTAACGAAAGTTTCCTGATCGTGCTTGAGAATAATTTTGTTTGCATATGATAAAATCAAACCTGAACCACTTAATAATTGGAGAACAATCTCCAGGCAAACGTTTTAAGTAACAGCATCGAATTACATTTTAATAAATAAATCAATTTTATAGCGTTGTCAAACAAGAAGGAGTTTACCGTATTTCATAAAATTGCACGATATGTTTGAAATATTGCTGTTGTAGTACGAAACTTGGCACGAACATGTGGGACGACCTAATATTAACATTAGATAGCGTTCCCCGAGCGTGGCGTGATCATGTTGTACTTCAACTTCGCGTGTATGTAAATTAATATTCGTGCATACGTGAAATATTAGCACCATTTGTTTTTATTTTCGGTAGAGTATATAAATACCATTCTTCGGTTTTAATCGTAATAACTCCTTTCGACTCTTTTTAAAAGTTGCCTGGATCTGTACAAGTTTTATAAATCCCACAATTTTCTACAGAAAACTATTGTTAAAGAAAGCTAGTTTTACCGACTTTTAGCCGCGTGGAACGCAACCAGAGTCGTTGTTTTCGCGTCCAAAGCAACTGGACACGCAACATCCAGCGCACAAATGGTATATTCGCACGAATATTCGTGCCAGTTCGAGATTCTGATTCGACGCGGGACGATCCCTTTCTATTCGTCATCGAATATATTAACTGCAACGTTTCTTTAATAACGTACGACTAATCGTTTCTTATCTATCCTTCGCGGCGTGGTTCGCTGTGTTTTTACACCTCACGGCCATTTATCGAACTCGCGTAGCCGTGGAGTTCGCAGCTGACGCGAAGTTCTCCTCGTTCCTCGTGTCTCGCAGGAAATTAGCAAAAAGTGTCTAGGGCTCGAAAGAAATTTCCTATTCCAGTCGTTAAACGTTCCGTTGAATATTTTTACTCTGGCATTCCCAATAGAAGAACCGTGTGGCGTTCGAATAATCGAACGAGAAGACAAACGCTGAAATTCTCCATTACTTGGACGGAATTTTATCCAAATTAACCAATTCATTGTCAAGCCTAAATTATATGATTATTGAATTATATGATCATTGTCATTTTTGTTTCAAGTGTTATTGTTTATCGAAGTTCCGTTATTTCTTGATTAGCACACATATTATCCCATAAATAAGTGACCACATTGACTATCGAACCAGTACATAAATTAAGATTTATCTTAGCACTTATTTTCGTAAGAAATTTATTTCCTTTAACGTTTCAACCTGAGAATTAATTGTCTTAGTTCCATAGTAAAAAATCCTGTCATTCATAGATGACATGGCAGTCAAAGTGTTAAGGTACCACGAGTGGCAGCGAATGGGTTAACAAACTATTCGAAAGTAAACTTAATTCGTACCTGAAACACGAACGAAATAACATAATTCTTCTAGTCACTACAAGCAATCAATTTTATTCAATTGTATAAAATTCTTTAATAATTTCTGTGTCGACGCCATATACGAAATCGTAACAATTTGTGTATTTAAAAATCGCCAAAGACCTGAACGGGGAACCGTGTCGACGTCTCGTATCGTCGAATAAATCGTAGAGATCCGTGAACGATGTACAAGAAAATTGATCGCGAGCAACGCCCACGTCTGGTTCCGGCGGATAAAAGCATGGGAAAAGTTTCGAACGATGGGAATCGACGCCATTCGGAATGCCATCCTCGTCGGCTTGTAAGAGCCCAGGGATATCGATTCCGGGTTTTCGCGACAATTATGTTACGCGGGAAAGTGGCCGGAAGCGTCCAACCGAAAGGTCGAGACTGTGAAACGTAGAAGTTAGCGTTAGAAACGATGGGAGGGGTGGGGGGGGGGAGGGTCGCGTAACGCTGACACGTCCTCTGCCTTTTTCAGGTGAAGGGCTTTCAGCTGGAATACCTCGCCAAAGTACCTGAAGTGAAGGATACGGTTCACAAACACTCGCTGCTTCATCACCTTTGCCACATGGTGATGGAGAAGTTTCCGGATTCTACGGATCTCTATTCGGAGGTGAGAGGGGTGCATACTTCGCGTCGAACCGAGTGGATAAAACTTTAGTTTCGCTGGCGCTCGCAAGACGGAATAACCGTGGCTGCATTTCCGAGGATCGCGACCAGAAGTTCCTCCTCGTTCCGGGCAACTTCTTCGGGGGTGGGATCTGTTGCGAACGCCGTTCCCGTGAAATTGTGTCCAACGCGCGGTTAAATCGAGCCGCCGTGTAATTGGGGACCGCGAATCCGCGTGCGAATAATTTACAATTTATCGCCGCGACCACGACGGTCCAATACGATTTCTTTCCAATTTTCTCCCTTGGGAACTTCTCGTCGCGATCTTTAATTAATCGTAGCACAATGCTTCGTAACGGGAACTATTTTTGTCTTTTGAAGAAAATTATGTTTATATTTTCTCAGCTTGGTAACAGAAACTATTTTTCTCTTTCGAAGGAAATTGCTTGGCTAATACTTTATTTTTAGTGATGCATAATTGAAGAAAGTATTGAAATATAAATCTATCAAAATTCGATAATTTCAATATTATTCTTTCCATCGAAATTAAATGCAGAAAGATATTTACTGTTACTTGTATATTAAATGAAATTCTAAAAATTGCATTGTTTCTCTGAGAGCACAGTATGAATTTCACCGTCTCGTTAAATCGATCACCCCAATCGAAACGTCAACTTGCTTCTATCGATAGATACACACGATACGTGGAAAATAAAATATGAAATAACCTTCATCGACTATTTCTCGATTGGAAAGTCTAAACTTAGAAATACTAAACGTGGATGTATAGTATCTGTGGCTGGTCGTACAGAGTTGGCGGGAAATAATTTTGTCGGGCGGGCTACGTGTATTTGGTTTAGATCGGTGCGGTGACGAGGGCCTCGAAAATCGACTTCGACGAGCTGGCGTCCAACATCGGGAAACTGGAGAGCGAGTGCAAGGCGTCCTGGGACCATTTGAAGCTCATCGCGAAACACGACGGCTCGACGATGATGAAAGTCAAGTAAGTACCAGTCGAAATTGTATCTGTCCCGACGTGAAATTGCGACCGATCCGCGCGTACCTCCCCGTTTCTGTTCGCCGTCCGTGGACACCCGTGGAAGTTTCTTCCCGGCGAAGTTTCGACCGCGAAATTCGCGGAGGATCCGAGCAATGTTCGATAAACTCGCGACAGACTTTTTTCCCCACCGACGAAAACTGGCGCCGCTCCAAATGCCACCACCATTAATTACCGAAAGCGTATTTCTTCCTTCCATGGGTTCGGCTTCCTGCTCGGTACCTTTAACTTTTTTTTCTTCTTCTTTTTTATTTTATTTCACCTTATCCCGTTTATACTCTGAGCTCGAAGCCTTACTCCCCCACTCCCAACCAGTTCTTATCTAAGTCAGCCATATCGGGCGATATTTTGCTTCTTCTTTTTCTTACTCGAGTTTTTCTCGAATTACGCCCGGAATTATGACGTAAATTTATCTCGAAAGGCGAGTAAGAAATAATGAGATAAATATATGGACTGAATGGATGGTCTGAAAAAATTAATCTTGAATCTTTCGTCTGTTTATAATACTTCTTTGAGCAAACTTTCCCACTGAACGTGCAGGTGCCTCGTTCGTAATAATTTAACTCCTTGCGACACAAAAATGTTCGTAATTGGTGAAATACGTTTTTTTATAGAGAATGCACATGTTAGGGAAAATATCGTGTACAATAATCGTAAATGTATTAACACAAATCTGAATCGAAAAGGATCGTGAACATCTCGAGCATGGTTCATCGACTCTTAAATCAGAACTGTCCTGACCCACATATTAGCGGCCATTGAACCTGTCAAGAATCTCCTTTGCATCGTAAAGCCACCTCCAGTGTCTCTTACGTTTAAAAAGTTCCTTTACGATCATCTTACATTTATTTTCTTAAACGTAGCAACGAAAGTTAACGCTTGCGTATGACGTATCCTATTATTGGTGATAGATAATCTGAATTAAATTGAAACCTTTGAAAATACCAATAAGTATCCAGCTAGCTTTAGTAGTTCGTATATGGGCATAAAATTCACAGAAAATCCAGTAAAAATGAATAATTTTTTCCCCTTCCATGTTTACAACGGGAACTCCTCCTGAACGGTTGCGGTAAGGATCGAATATTCAATCAGCAATTAGCAGTGGCGTTCTCAGAATTACTCGGACCCGTTTCGGTCATCGTTAACGTTGCCCATTTCGCGTTGCGTGGCCCTTTGTTCGCCCGAACGTGCGTTACGACCCGTTTAATCGTATTTACAGTTCACCGTCAACGAGAACAATGCCGGTGCCTGAGACCTGGCAAATCTCGTACTTAATTGCAACGTCGGTACGAGGGGCGCGGTAAGTAGCAGTTGCCCGAGTAGCGCTTCATATCCTGTCCCGATGCGTGTTGTTGCATCGCACAGATATACCGGGGCGATATTTTGTTTAACGGTGCAACGTCTCGTTAATATCGCCTCGCGTGGCCCCCGTTGATTAAGTGTAACGGTACGCCCTAAATGCCGGGCCGGGTTAATTCGTTTTTGCGAGAAACTCGTTTGAGCGACCGGGCTACCGAGTGGACCACTCGACGCGAGAATAATGAGAGTTTTGTAATGTAAAAAATCGCCGCTCGCGATTGACCCTTCGCGTTATGACATCATTCGGGAAGGTGAAAGACACCACGAGGCGGAATTCATCGCGCTTGGCTTACGATTTATTTTGCGTGTGTCTCCGTTCGAGACGGAGCGATCGATTCGTATAATGGCACGTTGCTGGTCGAATTGTAGAGAAATAAGATTCATATTTTTTGTAAAAAACCTCCAACGTAAATAGGAAATAGAGAATCTTCAGTTAACAACGCGTATTAAAAATAGTAAAACTTTACACGCGTACAGTTTCGAAGCTACTTGTGTTTTCTTCAAAACTGAGCCACTGTTAGAAGCGGTAGACATTCCTCTTTAAAATGGCTTTTGGTTTTTGACGATCGGACTTTCCGTTTTCGAGATATCGCAATTTATGTAAAGGGGTGATTTTTCTAATTCGACTATCTCTGTCTCCGTCTGACGCGTCGCGCCGGACCTCTCTTTCTCGCACGTGACTCGCGACCGAGTGGCCGAGTGACCTAGTTACTACGAGCACGTGCGGTCAACGACCTTGGCAAGGCCGTAGCAAAAAAGTAAACAAACGCTTCGGACCCTTCAATCTCCGAAACTAGCCACCGCATCGACTCGAAACTAAAATCGTCATATCTCCGGAACTAATTAAGCTATCGACTCGTTCGAACGCTCATTTTAAAGGGCATTTTATCCCCTATCATATGAATGTATTAACTATTATTATTTATACCGTCTTCTGTGTTTATTTTGTCATTTACTTCGACACTTTACAGGGTGTTCATCTTAACGGTCGATTTTTAAGGCATTTACGCTAATCTGACAGAAAAATGTTTCCAATAAGAGTTAACGTATACTTTGAGGAGAACAAAGTGCAATAATAAAAATTTCGAAAAATTGCAACCTATATGTGTAACTGTAAGGTCTGTGATATATTTTTATATTATAAGTTATAAAATGCATAAAATGACATTACTACTTATGCACTTAACGTATAAACCCCCTTGTATTTGTCAGAGAATCGTTTGAAGAAATGCATCGTGGATTCATACGGACCCTTTTGCAATTTTATTCGAATTTCCTCGATAGCGAAAGAGATCCTCGAACTTTAATCCGTGATCCACGGCTCTCTGTTGATCCAGAATGTCAGACTTCCTGGCGGATTGCGCGGAAAGGATAATCGTGCTGGGCATCGTGCACAGGCGGATCATAAATCGATTCCACAAGTTCATCCTATGGCTGGGTATCCCGTTGCACAGGGTCCAGGACACCAAACCGAACGAGTTCTGCCGCGTGGTGTCCGAATTCGCGTTGGAGTACAGGACCACGCGCGAGCGGGTGATACAGCAGCTGGAGAAAAAAGCCAATCACCGTGAAAGGAACAAGACCAGGGGGAAGATGATCACAGAGGTGAGTTACAACGCCGGGTCCCGTATTTTTCCTCGGTGCCGTGGTCGCTGAAAATCGGGAGCCGCTCTCATCAAATACAGTTATCGGAGCGTGAAGGGCATTATGGTTCGCGTTCAGCTCCCCCCTACCTACCCCCCCAGCCGTCCCTGCGGCGAGGGGAATAAATTGCTTTTTTTTGCCCCGGGAAGAATCAATTTCTTTTCTTGCCTACCGTTGCATTAATATCACGCTTGTCTCCGTTTTCATTCCTCGAATATCGTTCGACATCGGTCGCATCCGTGAACCCGGCGTCCCCTCTGATCGTTACAGGTTGGCAAATTCAGGACGAAAGAGGATCGCGCGGACGCGGAGCTCAGGCAACTGCTCGGAAGCGATATCTCCGACGTCGAGAGTATTCACGGTACCTTGCCTTGGAGGAGACAGAGGAAAGATGGTAAGTTTCGTTCCACTTTTGCTTTCTTTACCCGTTCCTTTTGTTTTCTTTCGTTCTGGACCGCCGTGTACTCGAACGCTTTTTACCCGATACGACTCTTACCCATTTCGCGATGGTTCTCTCTTCTTCTGTTTACGAACATTCATTTTCACCGACGAAAATTTGATGAAACGGAAGAAAGCAGTCTGTATAGTTTTACTCATAGTAAACGAGTGAAACGTGTACAGTAATGATTCCTAAAATGAATCATTACTGTATATTGTTGGGTAGACAGGGACCAAAATTAAACTTCAAATCTAGAGTTTTTTAGCGATAAGATGAATTGAATAGTTTTCGAGATAACCCCTCTTTCCTATTATCGTATTTTTGAAACCTCAAATTACCCCCAAATTGCCAATGCTAACATACAACTTACATATAAAAATATTATAGGGGCGAAGTGCATTCGAAAGTATTGAATTACCCAAACTTAAATCTGAAATTTCTTTATTTAAGATTCTATTTAATTAAAAATTCAATAAAACAGCAAAGAAATATGTTTTCACACTACCAACACACTGCCAACAAAGCGTCCCTCTCAACAACAACAAAAAGCTACCGGCAATCCGGTAGCCATCGATTCGTTCCTCGCTATTTCCGGTATTCTCGTATTAAATGAAAATAATCGACTGCGCATTCCACGCTGGAATATCAGCGCGCAATTTGCAACATAAATCCCTTTTCCGCGAGCCACGTTCATCGATCGGTCCCGTTCTAATATCCTGTCCTCGACAAGTTTCATATTTCTACGTTACGCGATGTCTGGCTCCGCGTAACTGTAGAATACAGAACGAGGCAATAAAACGCAATAATGCTCTGCTCTCGTTGGCCTCGATCAAAGGACGGAAAAACTAGGCGCACACAGTTGCGCAGTATTTTATAAACAATCGCCGCGTGGCCTAACACGGTAATTTTCTATGTCTGCTTGTCAAATTCAATTCCAATAAATTTCGAAACTTTAAACACGAATTTACATCCCTTGAAGAAAATAAAATTCGTAACTTAAAATGGAACCGAAGCGTCAATATCGAAATGTAGCACAGTGAATAACCAAAAATATTTGACGACATTCATCCTTGAAGTAGAGTCAGTAAAGAAGCGAAAACGTATGAATTTTGTGCTTTTTCGTGACGGAAAAAATGCCATTTCAGCTTCTTCTTTCCTTTTTTTCGCCATTTGCCCTTGCAACGAGGGCGGGGAAACTTTTTCATTCTGTAGGTCGTCGACGGGCCTGGGTAAAGGCTGTTCAACTTTTCCGCGCGGTCGTTTTTAGCGGTCGGAAATATTACGCGACGCCTTAAAAGGGTAAGCGCCGCGCCGAAGATAAGAACAAAGTGCGAAAATTTCTCCTCGTTTCCGTAATGTTCTAGCCGGTGGCGGCGCGCGAGATAAATGTCCTCTTTAAGCAAACGCTCTCCAGCCACGAGATTCCGGGATAGCGCGGACTCATTTGACGGCGTTAGCCGAGAATGAGAAGTAACGACGTTCGGATATTTCGAACGAATCGGCGAGCCGCGGTTCTCGCGGCCAAGCAAATGCAAAAATCGCGTACCGAACCGTAATTCCTCGAGTTTGGTTAGCGTCGCCTCCTGATTCTCCTCGAGGACCTCTTTCGCATCTTTTATTTACGTCCTCCTCTTTCATCTTTGTTTATTTTCCTAAAAATGTGGATATATCGTTTAAAGTCTCGAAATATTATTATTGGAAAGGTTCCTGAGATGTTTCTTCATGCGTTGATATTTACTACTTGCTTTAACAGTCTCGTGTCTGACCACATATGGCTTCGTACTACTTAAGCTTCCTAAATTTCTTATATTTCATTGAATTAAACGAGGACTTTGTAATGTGGTTAGAGTATTTATATATTATTGTTAGATCTGATGGAAGATTAATTTTGTTAAAAAAATAAGGGTTTCTATGGCTCTGGTTGTTTGGTTCCTTTTGGAAGATATTTCGAAAATTTATATAGGTTCTAACAAACATTTGTATAGTATACCAATATGCTATTCTGATTTCTACCCCTATACATTGTGCATAAATCATATTTATATAGTTTATATTGTGACTGAAATCACCAATGACTCTGAGAGCAATTATATATTATTCATTGTGATCTCTAAACGTTTTACATTTCAATTTTTTGAAAAATTCTGAGGAATATTTCATAAAGGATAGAAGAAGCAATGGTTAATCGGACTCGTATAAAGTTCACTGCTCGTAGTGGGCAGAACAAGAGCTTTTTACTCGAATTTGCATTTACTGGAGTTCTCATAGAATATGAAGGAACATTCAAAGTAAAATAAAATGATGCTGTAAATATAACTCTGTTCTATAGTACTAAGAACCCTATTAAAATACGGATGTATTTCAGTATAGTTTATTTACTATAAAATTAATTCAAAGAATGCTATATTTCAATGTAATTGTAAATTGACTCAGAAATTAGAATGAGATAATTTAAACACTGACAGATGTTGTGTTTTGGTCTGTACAATTATTAAGTTACAAATTAAGAAACTATTGGCTAGAAATAGTAAATATATTCCTTGCACTTGTAATGCACTCGTCACATATATAGAACATCCTTAAAATAAGTTTCTTACTCTTGATTCGAGTGAACGTATCATCAGTCGTTGATACGTACTACTTAGAAACACGGTTTGTCTGGCTGAAAACGTATTCGTACTACTTAAATTTCCTCTGGACACCTATTGTAACTTTTCCTCTATCTCAACTTGATAATTACATCTGTAAATACTTATTAATTTCAATTCATCGTGAAACTATACACAGTGTACTATAAATTTGGAATTTTGTTGTCTAACAACCCAGGCAGCAATAACTAATTTAGAATTACTATTTAAACTTGATCCTTAGTGTAACACGCATAACGCATTTATTTAATATTATTTTAACTGCATCGATTCGGGGTTTCCTCCTCACGGTACACGAAGAGAAATTATTTGATCACGACCGTGTATTATTATCAATAAATCCCGAACAGATCCAACTATATCGACGCGTGATCGAACGACCAAACCTTGACAATTTACGACTCGTTGCCCCAAACGACGCTCGACCCTCGGCGCAGGGGGAAAAACGTTACGAGTCAATAAATCGGAAACTTTATTTCCACTTAAACGTTACCCGCGTTCCGTACACCGTTAGAACAATCTCCTTTAACCCGTCGCTGGGAAACATTATACGGGGCTGACCGTGCGAGTATTAACGGACGACTTCCGACGTTTCATCGTCCGTGTCAGCCATCGGTTGGCGCCCAGCGTTCATCGCAGGCACTCCGAACAATGAACGAAACTGATATCGCCAGGGTCACGCGATATCGCCTCGGATTGTAACCGCGGATTCTCCGTTTTCCCGAAAGGCGGCGTTGGAATTTTTATTCTCGCCCTCGTCGCGCGGCCGTATAAAAGAGCAACGCGGTGGGCGCAACTAGCCCTCCTTTACGGCTCGTAAACTTCCCGGGGTCCTCGTGCATTACCGTGGCTGCAGCCATCATAACTTTTCTCCCTTTTGTTCCCCGTGTATGCTCCTCTATAAAATACCTAAACGTTCCGCCTAAGTCGCGCCCCCTACCGTACTTCCGCGACGAGCAACGACCCCCCCGTCCACGCACCCTGAACACCTGGAGATGTCGTGCGAATCCTTCCACGACATCCTCCTCGTCCTGGGGATCACGATTTGTCGCGGCAGATTCCCCTCGACCCGGGTACCTTCCGGCCCGTTATCGCATTCATATCCGTAGCTTTCTTTAGATGGTTGTATTCTTGTCGAGATTCTTTGGAATAAAACTGGGGACTAGGGACATTTCTTCTTTTTTGGTCCATTAAAACATTGACTGGCAGACCAAAACCGTACAATTTTCTACGAGATCAAAACTTAAAATTCGTCTTTGCTACTTATTATTCGTAACCACGTTGAACTTCGTCCTATACAAATTTATTTAACATTTCAATTTCAATTTCAGAATAAATTGTTTCAGTTCCATTACGTGACGTGGCAGCCAAAGTGTTAAAACATTGACAGACCAAGCACGAAACTTTGTTTCCAGACAATTGGAAATTTATTGAAAATAGTTTGGCCCTTTTTGATGGAACAATTGCTTCCTCGAGCCGCGAGAGTACAATTGTGAAATGCTTGTACCTCAAAGATAACTGTGGATAACGAAGGTCGGCTCGAAAAGCCTTCCCTACTTAATCTTTATCATGGCGGTCCGCGGCTCAGCCTTTTTACGGTTAAGCAGGCGGACGCGGGCTCCAAAGGATTTGGAACGTTTTAATACCGTACGTTCGGCAAATATTAGGAGGGCAAGCGCGAATAAAGCACCGAGGCTTTAATTAAAGAGAACGTGACTATGGAATTTTTTTACGTCGATTCGCCGGAGGAGGTAAAAAATTGTATTTTGAAAAGCTTCCCGGGGCCCGGGGCGCGTCCCGTTTTATTCAAACCTTTTATTACCCGGGAGGTTGTTTGTTTTATGGTAATTTCGTGAAGGTAATAATATTTTCATTTTCGTTTCGAAAATAACTCGATGTCTGCTCGTACTTTGTCAACGAATAATCATGCATTCTTCATTATCTCAACGTCCAGGACTCTTTCTAGTTTTTGCAAATTAAATCGTCGAAATTGCAAGTCTAGCGAAGACGACGGGAAAAGATTTTCCACGAACGCGAAGTTCGTTTTGATATTTCGAACGCGTTGAACACCGAGGGCCCCGCGGGAATAAAATTGCAGTCGTTTAACGTTTCCATCCGTTCGCGGCGAATACCGAAGCGAGAAGCCTCCCCGGTAGTCGACGACATTCAGTACTAACTAGGTTGACCGCGTCGCGAAACTTTGCTTTTTCTTTTCCCTCGTCCATGGAAATTCCGACACTCTTTCCCTCGCGGTTCTCGTTTCCCCTCCGCCGCACATGCTCGTATCGGATTTACACAACCAGAGAGACCGCCAATGGAGGCTTCTTTCAGCCGAGTTTCAAAGAAGCTCTCAAAGGAACCCCCCGTGCTTTTGACGGTTTCGAAGTTTCTACCCTACGGACCGGGAGAGAAGAGAGACTTGTTCCGTGAAGAGTTAGCCGTAGAGACGCTGCGAAAGAAAAAATGTCTCGCGCCTGTACGGTTCGCGATCCGAACAGTGCCAAGTGTCTCGGCTGGGATAGTACGTTTCCAAAATCGTTAACCCTTTCAAACGATTTTTCTGACATTTTAAAAAGAACTAAACACCTTGCTATCTCGAAAACTACGTCTATTTCAGCGTGAGAATATTTTTTTCAAATCCCCTTCGTCCTCTTAGTGATTTTAACCCTGGAGTCAAAATGACCCATTCGTAATTTCTAATAAAATATGATACAAATTTACTGTGGTTTTCTATAAGAGATTTTATTACACATTTCTTTGCGTATCTATCGTTTCAATTTCTTTGATACAAATGAATACATTATAATTGTCGATAGTTTTAGTGTTGAGTTAGACTGTGAACCAAACGAATAGCGAGTATAAATTCCAAAAATTTCATTACTGTTGAGATATTAATTTTAGAAACGCGTTTTTCGGAGTTTCGATCGCGCATGTATTTTGGAGAGACGCGAAATCGTGTTGCAGGACGAACATCGCTGGGTCCGTTGCTCCGCGACGAGAACACCAACGGTAACCTGACGGACGGCGACGACGAGCTGCTGGAATCGTTAGTGAAGACGGCGACGAAGACACCGGCGACGAGGACGACGCCCAGAGAGCGCAAGAGGACCAGACACGCCGATCGTAAGTCTTGTAAGTGTGATCCCCGCACCCTGCACTTGGCTTCCTTTCTTCCACGCTGATCGATCTGTCCATTCTCCAGGGAGGATCGATCGTTCGATCGGACCCGTATCAAAGGAACCGTCTTTCAGCGACGTATTTATGGACCGACTTTTTCGACGACTCGATCACTCGTGGCGTGTATGACCCACGAAAATGAAACGATAGTTCTCTATATTTAATATTACTCGATACTTGAAACGAAGTGCTCCTATCATTGTATATAAATCGTCTCGATCTTCGTGTGGGCCTTCTTTAGAATCCCCATGTGTCGAGTATATTACAACGATGTATAGATCAAACTAAAATGCGGAAAATTAAATTCTTATTATTTTTCACCCATTTTTTTTCAAAGTATACGCCAACTCGCGATTAACCGATGGACTATTAAATTAATTTATCATTTGCAAAGGAGCAGCTTACGTTACAATCGTATCACGAGAATATCACAGGAATCTTTCATTATTTCGAATTTCTTTTCACCGGACCTTTCGAGGAACGACACGCTCTATTACCGGCGAACAAAAAATCGCATAGAAATTAATTAAAAAATATCCAGACGCGTAGCCCGTGTTCCCCTCGTGGATAGAAATGCTTAGACATTTTCATTTATATCCTTGGGGGGAAATCACGCCGTTAAAGCTACTCCTTCGACCGTGGTTGTGCGTCGGAACGATTTTATATCGCGTAATTATCATCGGTTTCCTTCGGTCGTTTCAGTGATTCATTTTCCGGGAGCGTTTTCCCGGTTCGACGTGCCCGCACGCTGCGTCATAGAAATCTTGGGGATTTCGATTCGGGTTAAAATTAATTTATAAATGAACGCCCCCGCGCCCTGGAGACTACGCGTCGCGTCGCGCAATTCCCACTGATTACTCGAAGAAAATTGTACCTTGCAATTAGTTGGAAACGTTGTCTGAAACACGAGTTGACGTTTCCGTGGAAAAACAGACAGTTACGTTTTTTTTTCTCCTTTTTTTCGTGCCAGGCATATCGTTTCGCGTTTGTAAACGTTGGACGGGGCATATTGATCTTTTGGCTGCAGCGGAGCGAATTATTTTAATAAAATGTTTTTTTTTTTTTACGCGCAAAACGTCGACGCGGATGAAAAATGTTCCACTGCGAAATTCGAACGTACATATTTGTACTTTTACTCTTTCATGGACTCCGATTGATCGAATTTAAAAAATATTAGAAGCGTTTTTAAAAAGATCCAACCTATGCAATTAAATTATTTAAGAGTTTTAGAAAGATACGTAATTATCACTGTGGACCATATTTTACTATTTGGAGATTTCTTCTATAGCGAGTTGTTTTAAATAGGAAGAATATAAAATTAAGAACTCGAAACAAACTCGATTTTGTCCGCGATATATTCCATACGACTGCAAATGGGAACCTCGAGTTCGTGTTGTCGTTCGAAACATTCGGTCCATAAATAGAGTGTCGTGACATGCAGATCGATAAGTGGAAGTTTGGAGCCAAAATTCTGAACGCCAGTGATCGAGGACGACGCGCAGAGCGCCGTTTCCTCGGTCGTCGTTGAACTTTTCTCAAGCACCTTATTAGCACCGATCTTCCTCCATCTTTCCTCTAAAACTCGCGGATATACGCGCCTCATCGTCCGTGCGGAATCGATTATCGGCGAGAACGGACGATAAATTAATACGAAAGCAGCGAAAAAACCGGGAGGCATACTTTCTTAAGGGGTTGACGTGAAAAATCGTAACGTTCCCGCCAGGTGTAAATAAATAAGTTGCCCCGGGAACGTCAAAGTTTCGCGACTATGCGTCATGTAGGTCGCGCTGCTTTTAGAATTTGTTTTTTTTTTCCAGGCAACATCCGCGGTACCGTGGTTTTTCACGAAAAAGGAGCACAGTTTAGCGAAAGTGACATTTGCATTTTATATTGCTCCCCATTCATTTTTCGAACGGACGGTTTTCAGACCCGCGGTTTTCGTCGCCGAACGCATCAGCGTCTGAAAGATACGTCGGATTTTCTCGTTGCGAATTGAAAGCATTTCGCCGCGGAACGTTCAAGGAATATACGCCTCGAATTGCAAACTTTTCAATAGACATTCGGCACGGAAAACTGGTAGAAAATAGGTATTGAGAAAAACGGTTCACCATTGGATGTCCATTTCCTGATATCTAGAGAGAAAGTTGAAGCAAATTTTTGTTTAAATACTCTGTTTACTTTGTGTTTCATATGCACTTGCTATGTCAGCATTGAATACAATTTAAATTATATATTATCATTTTTTTTATATGTAGGAAGATGTTTTCGAAACAGGTGTTTTTGATCATTTTTGTGGTACGTGGTTGAGTACGATTTGACTAACATGTCTGCTCAGTCTTTGATATTTCTACTTGTGGAGGTTCCAACATCGATCTTATTGTCTTCTTATTAGTTGAAACCAACTGAAAGGAATACAAACGTCCTGCACAAATATAAATAACAACAGAAGAACACATTGGACAATTCGTACTTAAAAAGTATTATTTTATATTTCCAATTCATTTCCTCCACGTGAAAATTTGTGTTTGGAATCGTTGAATGTCTTTTTCGGTTCTAATTTTGACAACCAATTTTAATTTTTAAATTCGAAACCTTGATACTCAAAAAGAACGAAGTTTTCTTTTAAATGTTGTTCGCACCGTAACGTTACGGTTCGTAGAGTTTTATCGTAAAAATAGTCCGTCGTTAATGCAAGACGCTGGCAAGTAATTTTAATCCTCGTAGCCCGGAATATCGAGGATGGAAAGAAAAAAGGAGGAATACGTGTTCCTCCGTTCTGCTTACTTCACAAATATGCGCGCCGGCTCCATCGAAATCGGCTTTGCTCGTATATCGGATACGTCTTCGAGAATTACATCGTTCCTCGCGAATTTCCGTTCGCGACTGTCGGCAAAACTTTTTGCCTCGTCGATCTTCGCGTGTGCACGTAATCCCTGGATGCAGGAGCTCGAATCTGTTCGTAATCTGCTGGTCGAGTGCGACCAACCGCGTTCTGTCTCGCGATATTTATGACGAGCGACTGAACGAACCGACGCTCTCTGATCTAATTCTCCCTCATTTCGATTTTTTCATTTTTAATCGTTTCTCTGTTGCATTACCAAAGAAGGTACTTAATATTTATCCTATCGCGTCGAACGACACAAAATAAATTATTTCATCGAAGCTTTTGAAATTAGAAATTAGAAATTAGCTTCGTGCAATCTCTTCACTTTTACTTAGTCTTGTTTTTTTCTTGTGTCTACCGCGTATATCTGGTATCCGAATATTTCATATATTTTTTTAACAAAATAGATATCCACAAATTGACGACTCGAACCCCCTTTCGTACTTTCACGTGGTCCATGTTGTTTCAAAGTTACTCCGTGTCGTTCTTTCCTCTTGCGCTTAGCAGCATTAAGACGTCCATCTTGCTTTTATGTTGGACTTGTAAGTTTAGGGTTAGGTTGTGAAACAGCTGTTGCATTAAAAAGTGTCGAGTATCCGCACCCAACATTTAACACACCCCGAAAAGGGATCACTCTACTATCATTCCCTCCCTTGTAAATGTCTCGCGTAATCGTACCCCTAAAGAAAGTATAATGCGCAGGAAACGGGGGAAATAAAGTAAACGGTGTAACGAACGCAGAGGATAGAGGATGATTGCCCGGAAGGCGAGGAATCGACCGACGTCGAGGGAAAATAACAATTGTCGTTGTGTTGGCATGCGTACAAGTAATTCGGGAGACGTGCTTTACACCCGGTGAAACCTCTATCCCCGTTTTCCCCATTCCCCCTCATTTCCTCCCCTTTGTCCCGAATTATTCAGTTTAAGGTGGCGTGGCGATGGGTGTGGTGATGGTTTCACTATACGCACACGTATACACGAACGCAAACGCGTGCCCGTGCACACGTACAAAACGGTGGCGGTTGCTAATGGGCTGGCCTAGCGTTCTTCCCTTCCTCTTTTCTTTCTGTCTGACAGTGAAGCGATCGCGTACCCGGGAGAACAACACCACGCCGGAAGGGTACCAACCCTGAAGGGCTACCGATCGTGACCGACGCGATGAAGGTTCGCTGGTTCTTCGATTAAACCGAACTTTACCTTTTGCTTTCACCCCCCCTCCACGCTCTTCTCTGCGTTTTAGCCGCGCCTTGCGACGGAATGTGCGATCCTTGCTTGCTTCTTTCCGTCCCCCGGCATGCTTTAACGTGTGTCTATTCTCAGGGTGCGTTCTGGCCAACGGAATGCTCGCCATTCGAGCAACATTCAAACGACACGAGCATTAATTTTAGATAGTTAGGATGTTCCTTCCAAACTCGACAAACGTACGGGGATGTTCGACCACTTCTGGGAGAAATTTGAATGGGAGATTCTTGGGGCTGAAATAAGACGAAAATTGAGAGCACCAAATTGTTGATTGAGGCTTCGTTAAGGAGTTATTAACGTTTAAAGTTCCATAGCGATTAGAAAATTTTCCGGCGAAATTGAACAGTTTCAGATTGTTATAAAAAAATTATTTTTAGTTGCGGGGGTCAATTTCAATCATTTTTGGTGAATAGACATACCCTCGAAATCCTACGCACTTAGGAGAAAAAAATTCCTTACCGAAAATGTCTGACCATACCATTGATATGTTTCACTGAAATTTCATGCGTATGTTTAAAACGTCATAACTTCTGAACGGATTGAAGGATTTTAATGTTTCAAAAGGCAAATAACGCGTATTTTAGTGAAGAATATATAGCAATTCAAAGAATATTCAGAAAGTTGTTCCTTAATCCCGTAAAGTGAAGAAAACCCCATAAAAGTGGTCCAATTTTCAAACAGCTATAACTCCTACAATAGTGAGTATATTTCAATGAAACTTTTTTCGAGCATAGAGTACATGGGTACCTAGAAAAAAGTACTAGACAACTTTTCCGTACAGCGTCACACAAATTTATTAAAAATCGAAAACGAATTTCTAAGAAAAATC